TATATCCAGGCTAGCGTTCTGAGGCTCTATTTCCCTTTCATTCTCCACCCTATACATTTCTTAGGTGAATGACTCTCTTTCAGAGGATGTGATGGTTCATTTTATGTGCCAACTTGACTGGGCCATGGTGCCCAGGCATATGGTCAAATATTATTCTGGATATTTCTGTGAGAGTGTTTTTGAATGGGATTAACATTTAAATCAGTGGACTTTGAGTAAAGCAGATTGTCCTCCATAATGTGGATGGGCCTTCTCCATTAGTTGAAGGCCTGAATAGAACAAAAGGCTAACCTCCCCTGAGCAAGAGAGAATTCTGCCAGTGGACAGCCTTTGGACTCGAACTGCAACATCAGCTCTTCCTGGGTCCTCAGCCTGATAGTCTTTGGACTTGAACTACAACACTGGCTCTTTCCTGGGTCTCCAGCCTGCTAGCCCACCCTGCAGATTTTGGACTTTCCAGCCTCTGTAGTCATGTGAACCAATTCCTTAAAATAAATAAGTATATATGTATGTATTATTATAAAATATATATACTATATATACACGTGTGTATATATATATATACACATATTCATAGATAGATAATCTCTCTCCATAGATAGATATAGAGATATAGAGATATCTTGTTGATTCTGTTTCTCTGTAGATTCCTGACTGATCTAGAGGAGCTCCTCAAACCTGTGAACACCTTAAATTGAGGCTGGGGTACAGGAATGAAAAGTAACCAAGAATACTCTTATCAGTCCTTGAGTACAGCTTTGCCTTGGCAAATTGTACATTGACTAAATCTGACATGGAACTGGCCTTAACTCTGTAAAATCTAGTGTTACAGGATGTAAAGCTGAAGAAATGAGAAGTACCATCGCCTTCTTAGAGTCCAGTAATTTTTGGCACAAGGAGAACTGGTCTGTTCTTCATGACTTTGGGGAATGAGGCAATGGGAAAAGCAGAGACTGGGAAAATGGTACAGTAACAAATTCATGTTGATACAGGCCTTGATTTCATTGCTAAAGGTTAATTAGTTTGAATATGTGAACAAGATGGCTAAGAGACCAAGAAACAGGATTGATCTGATTGTTCACTGCCTGATAAATTATGTGGAGAATGAACTCTTGCAACAAAATCCAGCCAGATGAAGGGAAAATGAGATATACTAGGACTTACAATGATCTACTCTTGTGTATGGGCGATAAAGATATCTCGTAAAGCAAACAGGTATCATTTAAGAGGACATGTAAATTTTTAAGGAGGTCATAATTATAATTTGGGAGATGTTTGTATCAATCGGGATTTATTGCAAGGAGCAGAAAACCTATCTGGATTTTAGACGTAAGAAGAAATTTAGTATAGAAAATTGGATGTTTACAAACTACTTGGAAGGCAAGAAGGAACAGGTTCTAGGCTGAATCTCAAGGAATAACTCCCAGAAGAATATAGAACTGACCAACCAGAGTTGCTAGTATCTATGCGGCTACTACTGGATCCATGAATTCAAGAACACAACTTGAGAGCTGTGATCAGGAAACTGAAAGCCAAAATGAAAAACTGCCACTGTCACGACCATAACTGATTATTGGCATAAAACTGTATAACTCACTTGCCAGAAAAAACAGGCCAAAATGTAGCTGGAAGATGTCACATTGCCTTTCAAATCTTGAGAGTTGATTCTAATTGATGAACCCTATTTTGTCTCCAGAACTATAGCTGCATGCGAGTATAGAAAATGGACTTTCAGACTTTCCAACTTGTAACAAAAGAAGCAGAATTAAATGAAAACTGAGGGGCCTTTCCAGAGTACCCAGCTCAGTGGTATGCACAGTAAAAGGAGAGTATTCAGCTGAGAGTTGGGAAACCTGCGATGTAGTCCTAGCTCTGTTACTGTCTGAATTTGATCTTGGAACCATTACTTCCTCTCTTGGGCCTAACAGAGTTTATCTAGTAATTATTGGAGAGAAAGATTTTTATTTTTTATTTTTTAAATATTTTTTATTGATTTGTAATCATTTTACAATCTTGTGTCAAATTCCAGTGTACAGCACAATTTTTGTTTTTTTTTTAAGGCACTGATTGAACATTTATCAATCTCCAGGTAAATTTGTGATTGTCATAGAAAAAGGACTTTGAGGACATCCATTTATTCATTCAAAAAATATTGATTGAAAGCTTCCTTCGAGCCAGGAACTGTGCTAGTCATTGAGGAAATAGCAATGAATAAAAAAAGACTAAATCCTTGTTCCATGGGTCTTACGTTCTAGTTGTGAGAGGCAGGTGAGAAACCAAAAAACAAAAAAAAACCATTTTAAATAGTATGATAGAAGGTGGTAAGTGTGATGGAGACTTTTTTGTTTCTTTTTGTTTTTTAGATTCCACATATGAGCGATCTCATATGGTATTTTTCTTTCTCTTTCTGGCTTACTTCACTTAGAATGACATTCTCTAGGAGCATCCATGTTGCTGCAAATGCCATTATGTTGTCAGTTTTTATGGCTGAGTAGTATTCCATTGTATAAATATACCACCTCTTCTTTATCCAGTCACCTGTTGATGGACATTTAGGCTGTTTCCATGTTTTGGCTATTGTAAATAGTGCTGCTATGAACATTGGGGTGCAGGTGTCATCCTGAAGTAGATTTCCTTCTGGATGCAAGCCCAGGAGTGGGATTCCTGGGTCATACGGTAAGTCGATTCCTAGTCTTTTGAGGAATCTCCACACTGTTTTCCACAGTGGCTGCACCAAACTGCATTCCCACCAGCAGTGTAGGAGGGTTCCCCTTTATCCACAGCCTTTCCAGCATTTGTCATTTTTGGATTTTTGAATGACGGCCATTCTGACTGGTA